TCGACTTTTATTAACAACACTGTTATGTATATATTTTTTTCACCCTTGTCGTATTCTTTCCTCAAAATAAAAATTTTGGATACAAATATATGTCCATTCTTAAGGGTGTTGATTTTTTTAAATTGCTTTTTGGAAGATTTTTTATATTTTCACCAGCAGTGTTTAAGAATATTCCCTGTAGTCTCATCACCTCCTATTACAGTATACATTTTCATCTATGCCAATTTAATAATCAAAATTTAAGTGGTACCTCACTTTCTTAATTTGCATTACTGTCATTACAAGTGACATTGGACATCATTTCATATGCACTGGCAATTTATATTTTTCCTGTGGATTGCCTGTTGATTTATTTGCTCATTGAAAGGTTCATCTTGTCCTGATTTATATGGATGAGCTTTGGGTATACTGAAGAAACCAATGCTTTATCTGCTACATATATTACAAATATAATTCCCATTGAGGCATTTTTTATGGTTCTGATTTACCAAATATTTACTTATAAATGTGGTCAGATTTATCAATATTTTCTTGTTTTTATTTATGTTATGGTTAGAAAAGTTTCCTCCACCATTAGATTATATAAATATGTATGAATATCCTCAACATAATAGTGAGACAAGAGTTAGAATTAGACAAATATTGAATTAAATCCCAGCTCTGTCATTAACTAGTCATCACAGATTGTACTTTCCAAAGATGGTGGCAGCAATATCTCCTATACCATGTGCTCTTCTACAACTTTGCCACTCCCCAATCAGAAGAGTTGGAATCTGGTCAGGCTTGTAACCAACAGAATGTAGCAGAAGTAATGCTGCATGACTGTCAAGTGTAGGCAATAAAAGGTGCTGTAACTTCCACTGGTTAGTTGGAGCACTTGCTTTGGAACCCCAACCTACCATGTAAGAAGTCTGGGGCCTCCAGGCTATGAAGGCACCCAGGCCATATGGAGAGTCCATGTGTAGATACTCCAACCAAGAGTGCCAGGTGATAATCGCAGTTTACTTTGACATCAACCATGAAGACATGTGAGTGAAGATGCCTCCAGATGATTCCAGCTGCCAGCTCTCTAATTGTTTTCAGTCTTCAAGTCTTTCCATTGAGGCCTCAGACATCATGGAGCAGAGTCAAGCCATCCCCACTGTATACTTTCTGAATTCCTGCCCCACAGTACTAGTGAACACAATAATTTTTATATAGCAATAGTAACTGGAACACTAATTGTGTAATACTTGTCAAGTTGCTTAACCAGTCTGTTCTTCAGTTTCTCATCTATTAAGTTAGGTAACAATATTAGCTACTTCATAGGGAAGTTGTAAAGATTAAATGAGATTATATATTAAAAGTACTTAGCATTTTATCTAGAACATACTAAGATCTAAAATAATGATAGTCACAATATTGAAGAGTAAGTTTTTGTTTGTTTGCCTATTGTGTTTAAATCTTTAATACATCTGAGATTTATTTTGGTTTAATGTGTAAGGTTGGATGAATTCCTTACCAGTCAATTCCAAATCAACACTTAGATAGTTGGCCATATTACTATTATTTAAAAATATATGTGAAGAAAATTTTTTCTCTATAAATAAGTGTATGTATGAAAAAAATTGTATACAAATTAGAGGATTGATATTTGGTGCCTGCTTATGTGGGTAAAGAAATTTTCACTTGGCTCTTACTTTGTTCAAATTGGAAAGCAGAATGAGAAGAATATTCCAAGATGGAGTAAAGCAAAGAAAACCAAAAAACAAAACAAAAAAAGACTCTTCAAGATTAAAGCACTTTTATCTAGGCCATAAGGAAGCCTAATAAGGAAGGTTCTCCTCATGCATGAGGAGTTAGTTTTCATATTACACACACCACCACTCAGAAATGTCAAATGTAACTTCATTCTCTAACCTGACTTCATCTTGTTTTAGAGCCCCATTCCTCTTATAATGGAAAACACTTGGTCTTTTCAGTTTACAATTTAGATTATTTTGGGTAACAATTGTTTCTCCCACTCCCAATTCTCTTTGCTTTCTCAGTGTAATTCTGGAACAGATTAATATTATGGTGGAGAAGAAAGGGGACTTTGGTCTCATGCAGTCCTTTGAGACCTCACAAGATTCATCACTGGAATGTCTGTGGCTAATAAATGTCTGTGGCCAGTTCACTCACCACTGTCAGCCTCTAGTGTTTTTCCTTTGGGGGTTTATCCCTCACCTCTCACTTGCTCTGCCCAAGCTGTGGCTCCTAGTCAATTATCACTTTCGGCAATCTACCCCATACCTCTCTACTAGTGAGAGCTTAATCTCTACTTTGGTGAAGTCCCTTGCACCTTCCGATCCTCAGTTTTCTTCCTTGTTCTCTGCACTGGGGCATCTACAAGTCTCATGCAAGTTTTAGGGGAGATAGGAGATGCTATCTCAGGACCATGCACATAGGCATCACCCTTTAAAACTTTTACCCTGCCACTTAGGGACTATGTGGAAACAAGGGTGATGCCCATTGCAGGTCTGAGAGTCATGCTTAGTGATGTGAGAAGTAAGCCTCCTACTCTGTTACTTCTTCACCAAATCTATGTAAGTATCTCTGCCACAGCTCCACCTCAATCTCTGTGGAGGAATGTGGGAAAGCAAAAAAATTTATATCTAGTCTCATGCCCTTCATTCTATCTGCCTGTCTCCCTATTTCCCTTCCCAGCCAATATAAATTTTTCCTGATTTCTATGGAAGATGGATATGTGTGTGTGTGAGGGGATAATGGATTCTCTTACGTCAAACCTTGTGTCTCTATGGTTATCAAGTCTTAGGTCAGGTTCCCTAGTAAGACTCCAAGATAGAAACAATTGTTCAAAGAACTTATTGTAAGTAGAGGGTCAGTGAAAAAGAGGAAGATCCTAAATGAGATGGATTGACACAGTGACTGCAACAGTGGGCTCAAACAAAGCAAAGATTTTGAGGATGGTGCAGGACCAGGCAGTATTTCCTTCTGTTGTATATAAGATCGCTATGAGTCAGAACTGATTCAATGGCACCTAACCGCAACAACAACAACAGAGGGGGAATAAAGGAAACAAGAGAGGTCAGGGAGGAAATGTTAACAAGAACATAGTCTCAGCCAGAGCCTAGCTTCAGTCAGATCCCATGGAAAAGCACCAGAGCACAAATTACACCACAAACTTAGTCCCACCTTGATGCAAGGGGACTGATTTTTGTACCTTTATGTAAACTACTTGTTGGCCAAGATCTACGCTCAAGTCAGGAGCTCAGCATCCAGGCAAAGCAGCTCTCATTTTGCAGAGGACAAAATCTCTAGAAAATGAGAAAGCTGTGAGTTATCATAAGCCAACACTCAATGCAGCTGGGTGGTGGGTGCACTGGCCAGACAAAAAGGATTTGAGTGGGACACTAAAATAAAAATCAATCCAAAATCATCCATTACATAAAGTAAAATTCAAAACTGTGATGTTGATAATGCCAAGGTTTGCTGATGAAGCATAAAGAAAAGATTTTACAATTAGAACTATCTTCTTGCTCAACAAAGCCAAGCTTTGTCTAACCCTTGATTCAAAAATATTTTTAAAGTCTACTTCAAAAACCAAAGCTAAGCTATGATCTCCTTTTTCCTACACCAAATTATACCATCCGCTTGATTCAACGGCTAAGAGAGCCCAGGGACAACTAGGAATAAAAATATGTTGTTTCCCTAACTCAAAATATCCGTGTTATGTTGGCTTTTCCAATCTTGTCTTTTTGAAAAAAAGTTATCTTCATGTATTTCTTCACCCTGGCTTTGTAAAATCCCAATTGAGAATTCCACAGAAAATATTAAATTTTCAGACACGAAGACAGATGGTACACCAATCTACTCAAGTAGAGGAGTGGGTGGTTTATTGGAAGAATTTCATGTGGCATAATAAAGGAGAAAAACACTCATGGAAACCCAGGGCCAGGAACTGTGGGATGCTTCAGGAGGAAAGGAATGCCAGAGAGATTCTGTATCCAAGGAAGCTTCACAGCCATTGTACTAGTTGAGCTGTTCCACCATCAATGCTGCTCAGTTTCTCTCTGCCTGTTTGTTTCACTCACTGCCCATTTCTCTTTTCACCGCTATTACCTTCTGTTTACTCATAACTTCATCTTATATTTGACACTTTGTTATTCCAACACTACCTCATGGCATTTCTACATTCTATTATTTTCAACTACCATGCCAGTTGTCTCATTATTAGCATTTTTTTTTTTTATATTCCTATGAAAAGAAACTGACAGCCCATCCTGAGCAAGGTCTCCATTCCCAATCCAATTACCAGTTCAGCCAAGTCGCCAGGGCTACCTAGCCAGCTAGGGCCATGATGATTCAAGCTAATTCCACCCACACCAAATTGTCTTTGAAATACTAGTTTCTACAAACTTAAATACCCCTGAAATTTTCCTTGATACTTCATCCCTATACCTGTCCAGTCTTTTCTGGCCTAAGATCTCCCCAAGAGCTCTCCCAGATGAAGACTTCACTCATGTTGCCAGAAAATTGGGATTGATGAGATTAATCCTCTTCTATAACTAGAACCCATGGGCAAAGGGAGACTGACAGAGGGTTTCAGGGCTAATCCAAGGAAGAGAATCCCAACTCAGATATTTGGGTACAGGTGGGTAGAGAGTATGGTCACAGAACTCTCAATACAAACTTGAGACCCAAGTCTTGCATTTTTATATAGGAGATAAGAAACAGCCAGTTCTAAGCCCAATCCTATTCAAGGCAGTACAGTCTTGAAGAAAACAAATCCTCCAGCGAGATGTGAGTGATAGAAATTTGCAAATATTCAGTCTAGTGCTCCATCATTAATGAGACTCAGCTCCCTCCACAGCTTCTCTTTATGACTTCTTCTCTTTTCACTACCAGTTGGCTTTCTCACTATTGTTGGTGAGAAGAGGACCTCATACTGCAGGTTCCAGAGAAGAAATAAAGGGGATGGTGGTTTGAAGGATGACCCAAAGTCCTAGAGAGGTGTAGAACTAGGACCCCACAGGGAGGTTGCAATAGTTGCTATGTTTGCAACAGATGAGCTCTATTCTCTTGCCCAAATCCAAGAAGTTGATGTCCTCACAGTTGTATATACATGACAGCTTTGAATAAAAATACAAACTCTCCCCTGAGGAGGTAAAATGGAGGGGGGGGACATAGATGTAATGACTCTTTTCCCTCCTACAATCTTCCTAGCAATAACGTCTCTTTAGATTCTCATTAACCTTTCTCTAGACTCAAATGAGCTACAAGGCTGCATCTACTAATTTCTTCTCCTAATTCCCTAACTTATAAGGGACATCAGCCTGTCCTTCGCCCAATAGCATCTTAAGAAGAAGTCCACATTTGCCATCCCCCTCTACATGACCACCCATCCTCACTCATCCCACTCACTCTGAGGGCAGAAGAACACCACTGTCTCTAAGGGAAAGTGGATGTTATTTCTCAGTCACTCAATACTCCCTCACTACCTTTTTTTGTAAGTATATAAAAGTTCTCAGTGGCACAGTACTGTTTGTATTTCAGGTAGCAGGACTTCATGCCATCATAGCATAATCCAAGATGATATCTTCTACATTGATAGCATTCTTTTGAAGACCCTGCCAGACACAAAAAGAAACGCTTAAAGGATGAGGGCTGGGGAAGGCTCCCCTGGGATCTGGGGACTTCTCCAGAAGAGGTTGCTATTGCCTAGCAATTCTTAACCTTTCCTGTGCCACTGACTTTTTGAATAATCTGGTGAAAGATAACCTGAACATGCATAAATCAAATATTGTACATCATTTCAGGAAGTTTCCCAAGCTCCTGTGAAATTTATCCACGGACACCCAAAGAATGAAGCCCTTATCTAGCCTGGTGATTTTGCCCAGTAATGGGGAAAAGGGAGCAAAGAAGGGGATTTTAGCCTCCTTACTCCCAGAAATGCCCTAGGCTAGACTAGCAGAAGATGAAATTTTCAGGGTCCTATGTAACAATGGATTACGGCTGTCTCTGAATGTGGAGAGGAGGTTTACTTCTAAACATGACACATTTACCAAGGACTTTAGACCAGCCATGGTTCTACCTTCTTTGAAGTCCAGGAATTTGCCTGTGGAGAGAAGAAAATTCTTTCTTGTTATAATCTCAAATACATCTGCCACAGACCCAAGGGCCAATTTTGGAAACTTTCCTTCCCACAGCATCCAGCCATCTCTTAACCATACACCAACCTCCCCTCTGTCTCCAGGACTTACCTCCAGAAGGACAGAGCGGAGTGAAGATGCTCAGTAGGAGCAGAACAAGCATTCTGGGACCTTTGTCCTGTGGGAGGTTCTGGCTATTCTCCTTCTGTGATCTGTCCTTGGGCTATTTATCTGAGTCATATAATCATAAAATTTCAGGGACAGACAGTACCTCAAAGTCTCCAAGCCAAGCCATCATATTCTGATAGTCCCACAGCATTCCCAAGACTATGCTCACTCTGAGTTTGCACAAATCCTCCAGCAACTGTAGTCTTGCTACCCCTAAGGCATCTATTTAAAATTTTTCCTCACTGATAAGTAAAAATCTCTCTCCATATAATCTCTACTTATTGTTGTATATCTAAAGTCTTGTGTCAAATTAAGGTCAAATAAGGTCAAATTTTTATTTCATGTTTTATCTTTTCAGATATTTCAAGACAGGAGTTAAATACTTCAGTTCTTTTTAGCTTTCTTTAACAACCTATTCACTCTCCTCTAAATGACTTCAGCTTTGTCTGTGTCTCACTTAGACTGAGACACCAGGAACTAAGAAGCCTAGATGTAGTCTGAACGTGGAAGCAGTGTTGGAGTTCCCCTTCTGTGGTGTAGGAATGAGAAGTTTGGGAAGAAAGGTGAGCAGAAGTGGAATTTGTATAGGTTGCTTTTCGGTGTTATTAACTAATTGATTGATTTTTTAATTAAATACATAATTACTGAGCACATACAAAATTCCAAGATCACAGGAAGAGAAGATGCCAAGAAAACCCAGACACCAATCAGTGACCTCACAGAGCTTAGAGTCTAGTTAAGGGTATTCCAAGTACATTGCACACAACAATTATGGGGGCTTACACAAGGAGTCCCTAGGGTATCAATCTTCAATCATTCCATTCCATTTAATATGACAAATCAGTCTTAGAAGAAATATAAGCAGAATGTTTCTTAGAAGCAAGGATGGTGAGACTTTGACTTGATTACTTTGGACATATCATCAGGAAAGACCAGTCACTAGAAAAGGACATCGCGCTTGGTAAAGCAGAAGGCCAAGGAAAATTATTGATGAGATAGATTGACACCATAGCTTCAACAATGGACCCAAACATACCAATGATCATGAAGATGGTGCAGGACCCAGCAATATTTCATTCTGATGTACTTAAGGTCACCATGAGTAGAAGAAGACTCAACAACTAGCAACAAGAAAGGAACATTCAAATTGGACTACCTGACCAGGGGAGGGGGGATGGTTGAGCAGGACTTTGAAGGCTAGCAAAGTATCAGCCAGATAAAGAATGAAGTGGAGAAGAACCCTCAAAGGAACAGAAAATGCCATAGCACAGAAGTGCTGAACAACCCAACATAGTGTCAGAAGGTGTCATTTGATTGTAGAGACATGGGTGAAGAAGATCAGGCAGAGAGACATTCATCTTGTTAGAGGTGATGGCATATGCGTAAAGAGAAGAATTCGAGAGGATGATGCAATGGTCTTGTTGCTGAGAGCACTTTGTCTCAAGAGTGTGGAACTGAATTTCTTGCTTACCGTTGAGCAGTTGTAAAACATCAGTGAAAAAAGGCCATTTCCCTCGGTGTTGAGAAAGATAGTAAAGTCCCACTGTTCTGTACCAGTGCAGACTTCTAGAAAAGATAGCTCCCTTTATCCAAATTTAACTTTGTTATACACATGGGATCAAGTCTTGCCTTTGCTGCTTGCTAACTATGTGATTTTGGACAAGTTACTGAACATTGAGAATAATTTTGCATATTTCATAGGGTTATTATTAGGATTATATTAGATAAAGTTTTTAAGAAGAATCACATATTTATTAATGCTCTGGAAAGTGTCAGGTACTAATTCCTTATGCAATGTTTGCAGTTTAAGGATCAGCCTTGACCCTCCAGCTAGGGTAGATGTCAAAAACTTCAGTCAGAAGAAACCACATACAGAGAAGGGCAGGAGAAGAAGTAGGATAGTGGCTCCAGCTATAGATTTGGCATGCAAGGAGTAAGAGTCTGTCAGTAGAAATGTTGTCAGGAATGTCCTGCCAAGGGTTAACTTTCAGCAAGTCTTAGATTTGTTGGAGTGGACAGGAAGATCAAGAACAGTTTCTTCATGAATGATCTTTGAAGTCAGGGGATCAGGTTCAGAACATACTGCCTAGTTTTCCTTGGATGGATGAGCAGCTAGGACATCAGTTGAGCTCTGATTCATTGAGATTGGATGAGAATTGGGCCCTCTTTCATAGATTCAGGTGTGGTCTATATTCTGATGATGTCCAATTTTATATCTCTACCTCAGACGTCTATTCGGAATTCCAGACTCATATCTACAAATACCCATTCCACTTAGAAGATTCACAGGTACTACAATCTTTGAATATCTCAAAATGAAATAATAATCTTACTGATATACCAAACCTCCTGCTACTTCAGTATTTCCTTACTTAATAAACCTGGGTTCCATTCTTTATAGCTCCCTGTGCCCCATGCTCAAAGAGGAATCTAAAAATGAGTAGCATACATTCTACTCACATGAGGTTATTTTTTTCCCATCTCCACTGCCGCCACCCTAATCCAATCTGTTATCATCTCTTGCCTGGACCAAATAATAGCCTTGTTCTTTGGCCTTCCTGTTTCTACTTGTTCCCTTTATGGTAAGTTCTCCATAAAGCAGCCAGATAACACTTTCATAACGTAAGTCAGAGATGTCACACCACCTCTCAAAACCTTCCAATGACTTCCCATCACACTTAGAAGAAAATCTACAGCTCTTATCGTTGTCTACAAGGTCTTTCCCAATCTGACCAATGACCACTTCTCCAATCTCATTTCCTATCACATTCCCCTTGATCCCTCAGGTCTTTGCTCAAGGGTTACTCCCTCAGAGCAGCATTTCCTGATAAATTTCTAGAAAACAGCAGTTTTCCTTCTCCATCTTTTTTCCAGTTTTATTTTTTACAGCAATTCTCACTACCTGACTTTACATATGTATTGATCCACTGGTTCAACTCTTCCACTAGAACAAAGCAAGGGCATATTTCCACCACATACCCAGGATCTGCAGACCTGGAACATAGTAGACACCCAATAAGTATTTGTGGAATGAATGAATGACAGTCTTCTCGCTTCCAATCTTGCATCCTCCAATTCATTCTTTACAGAGCAACCAGATTGATCAGATTGATTTTTTGAACTATAATAAGAATGTGAAAATTAGACTCTTCATACATTCCAGGTAGGGTCCCAAGACAGTAGATGACAAGTATTTTTATATTTCAAAGTGAAGTGTTGTGTTACTTATGCAGAATTTACAAATTAAATAGATGAAAACCAGTTTCAATATCCTTGGTCCTTTGCCCACCTGGATGGCATAAAGAAATGACATTAACGTTTCAGAGACCCAGCTAGTCAGGATTGGGGCTCAAAATACAGAACTATTTTTAAAAAAGTATTTGTTTGGTTACATTTAAAATAAAAATCTTGTTCATGAGGGAAAACCAATCATTAACCCATAAGCAAACTCAAATAAAAAACACTCAACTACCCAAAAAAAAAAAAAAAATTGCAACTCATATCACAGACTAATGGCTAATCTCCACGTTATACAAAGAAATCCCAGAAATCCAGTTAGTCTTCTAATCAACTCATTTTTATTTTTTAGCCGGAATAATTTTATGGTGAGACACTGTCTTCTTCTGCTAACTGGTTACCCAGTGGTTCCATTCACATGGCCCCCTCTCCCTCCCTGTTATCCTCCACAGGAAGATATTACAATTAATTTTTAATATCATTTTTGACTCATGAATTCAAGCACATTTTATTAGTTTCAATCCAATAAATTTCTTGTCTTTAGTGAAGCTCAAATAATCACATCTTTATGGGAACCCTTTTAAATTGGCTCCTGAATTGTTTTGACATGACTCTAGTACTGTTTCATACCTTCCTTGTTATGTGGTCTTAAAAGATGTTCCAGTCATCTTGTACATTTTCTGCCTCAGCCTTGAAATTCAAGAAATCCTTCTCTCTTTTAGTCAGAAATGATATTACAGGACCACAATCTCATTGCTACTGAGACAGTCATTGTTTCTAGGATTCTTCAGGGAACAAAGAGATAAACAGTTGACACCTCATGAGTTCCTGCTAAAATTTCCAATTCAAATTTAAGACTACAAAATTTCTACTCAGCTTCTTTTATATTGCAACTATATCTCCTTTGTTCTACACTGAGAACCCTGGTTCTCAAGTACACAGAAATGGAATAGAATAGAATTAGAATATTGTTATGGATTGAACTGGGTCCTTCAAATATATGTGTTGTAAATCCTAACCTGTACGCTTGTGGTTTAATCCCATTTGGGAATGGGTTTTCTTTGTTATGTTAATGAGGAAAGATTAGTGTAGGGTGTATCTTGAGTCAATCTCTTTTGAGATATAAAGGAGATTAAATGCAAGCTAGAAGCAGAGATACGGTAAGATAGACCCCAAGCCACATGGAGATCTCCAAGGAACCAAGAAGCAGAAGCTAAGGAGACAAAGACCTTCCCTCAGATGTGACAGAGAAAGAAAGCATTCCGCTAGAGCTGACACTCTGAATTTGGACTTCTAGCCTACTAAACTGTGAGAAAAATAAATTTCTGCTTGTTAAAGCCATTCACTAGTGGTATTTCTATTATCACAACACCAGGTAACTAAGACAGAATTTGGTACCAAGACAGTGGGGTGCAGCTCCATCAGATACCTAAAATGTGGAAGCAGTTTTGGAATTGGGTAATGGGTGGAGGCTGGAAGAGTTTTAAGGTGTCTAATAGAAAAGCCTAGATTGTCTTGAAGAGACTGTTGGTAGAATTACGGACATCAAAGGCAATTCTGAAGAGGGCTCAGAAGGAAGTGAGAAGAGCTATAGAGAAAGTTTCTATCATCATAGAGAACACATATGGCGCCAGCAAAAAAATGCTGTTAGAAACGTGGACACTGTACATGCTTCTGATGAGGCTTTAAATGATGAACATGTGATTGGAAAATGGAGGAAGTGCAATGCTTTTTATGCAGTGACCAAGAACTTGTCTG